CTTGTAGAAAGCCCACAGCCCTTCTTCAATGTACATCTTGGGAGCTGCCTCCCGCAGTGTGTTGGCAAAGCCATGCTGGGTCTGAATTCGTACCTTGGCAGCTTCCATTGGGGACAAAGCAATGTCAGCAAAGAACTCAGCACTGGCTGAAGCAGCGAGGTAAACGCTGGTACGCCACAGATAAGCTTGTTCGGGACCCAACAAATCAGAGTAATATATCTTGAAGTACTCGTAGAGGCCAAACTTGGCAAGTCCTTGCATGGAGTAGCCTATGGCTGTTGGAGCCCACCCCTTGATCAGACCATGCATTCCCTCCTCTTGCACAGTGAGACTAAGCCCCTGAAAAAGACCCCGATAGCGCGTAGGTTCCACTTGCATGCGGCACTTCACCACATCCAGTGGGCATACTGCTGTGTGGGTTGCGCCACAGCTCACCACGCCACCCAGGGAGCATAGTATGAGGTAAGTCGTTGACCCATACTCACAGCTATACTCTTCCTCTGGTGGAGGTGGAGGTGGAGGAGGGGCCGCTTTTTTGGTTGCAGCTGCTGCTGACAAGCAGCGCCGATGTTTGCACAGAGAGAGTGGACTGCTGTTCAGGGAGGCCACTGCATCCATGGCCCTGTAGCCGCCTGAGGCCTTGCACAAAAGTGGGGGTGCAGGGCTGCCGCTGCTGTTTCCCTGAGAGCTCCAGGAAGCGGGGCAAGCAACTGTCCAGAGTCGAGACCAGAGCTTGGGGTGGGGGTATGTGCAAGACCTAGAGGCCTCCATTTCCATTTTCTCCAGGTTGCTGATGGATCTGCTGTCGATACCCGTTCTCCAGGAAGTATAGGCAGCTGCACTCCACAGCCAAGGTATGTTCTGGGAGGTGGTGAACTTGGTGCTGCTAGTCTCCTCCTTCCAGGAGCTGCATTTTCCCTGGTCTGCAGAAGGACAAGGCATATTCAGCGCAAGGGAGAAGGGCCAGGAGCAGATTAATGGCTACTTTCCCAACTGCCACGAATCCCAGGGTTCTTCTAACCATAGAGACTCGGCCTCCAAAGGAAGGATAGGCCCTCCCAGTGGGTGCGGACTGTACACTGCCACAAGGCCTCAGTGGGCCAAAACAGGCCTAGCACTATAGAAGCAGGCTTTTAAATACATAAAAGAGGATGGGCACTGGTTATGTTGCCCTAATGATTAGACTCTCTTTAATAGTAAGATTTAACCACAATGTAGAAGAGTTTGCTTGAGGTTAAAAGTAACAGATGTAAAAATTTGTCTTCCATATTTAAATAACCAGAGGCTGGTTGTTCACTCATTCATTTCTTCCTAACACCTTTGGGAGAAATAAGACAACATGGGATTCCCCAAAAGATGTTAAGCCTTAACTTTTAACTGCTAAAGGTTTGAGTTTGATGTAAATAAAGTAGACAGTGGTTGTATGTTACTGGCTAACAGATAGCCAGCACGGTCCTAGTGGCTATATGTCACTCAGCATAAACTAAATGGCACCATGATCTCCTAAGGAGGAGGTGCATGGATACTTAGAAAACAAACATTACTTATTGGATGTTAATTGTGAAAAAAGGTAGGTTGTTAGTGGAAAATAAAGCCGGGGAAAAGAAGGGCAATATAATGGGAGTTACAGGATAAAAGAGGGATACAGAGAAGTGGGGATTTCAGGATAGTGTTTTGTGGTAGAATGGATTATCTGAGAAAAGGTTTGCCAGATCTGCATGACCAGTGCTTGTTTTGTAATGGTACTCACTGGTAGAAAGTACCATTGCATCTTTTGTTGTTGTTGCCTATGGCAGCCATTTTGCATTGTTTTTGATCAAGATTACATAAATAAATAAATGTCTCCTGCCACTAGATTTCTGAGCATCAGAGTTTAAAATAGTGATCTTTTTAACCTGAGTGTATTATTGGGGATTGTAATGTACATAAAGCTAGTTGGATATTTCCATCTCATAGTCAGATTAACCCTCCAGTGTGTGTCCAGGTGTAATCTGTCAGAGACCACATACCAATGATGGGTGGGGCCAGAGACAAAAGTGTATGGGACACCCCTTCTCTTCCCCAGCTCTTTCTGAAACCCGCTTTTCCCTCACCTACAGGAAATTAGTCTGAGGGTCAAATAAAAGTAGGCTGAGGACTGAAGGTTGCCTTCCTGTGCTCTAGGGCTACAGGGGAGTGGTGCTAAGAATTTTCCACACTGTTGTAAGAATGTATTAGAAGGCTGAAAATACGTTTTGACAAAGATAAAATAGACCTGGCAAAGCTTTCCTTATTTTCTGGCCAAACCTCTGCTGCTGCCATTGCCGCTGCTACTACGGCTGTGGCTTAGAATATTACCTTTCATCGTTCTCTCACTGTCATCCGTTCACTGTCTTCTTTAAAACAGCACTTTAAATATTTGAGAGCTACTAATATGCCCTCATTCCCCTTTTAATGCAAAGTAACTTGCATAAATGTTTGTTTCTGACTCTACCTCATATTCATAGTGCTAAATTTAAATTCAAAATTTTTAACTGTAATGAAGGAAACAAAGCTTCAATGTGCTCTCAGGCAGGGATTTATTGTGGGACTGATGTTGTTCATGCATACAAGTTTTTTGCAGCACCCACACAACATCATTGGCACAAAAATGACAGCCTGTATTTCCCCCTATTTAATCTGGCTTTACACTTTCCATGGATTTTTCAGTAAGTTAAAGAATACCTCTTGCCCATTTGCTTTCTGTAAATGGCCCGTTTGTAATAAGGTGCTATCTGGAGGCACCATTAAGTTTAATGTTTTCAAGGATAAATGATGAGCATATTAGTTGTCCCCACTACATGCAAAAGGAGAATGCTAGGCAACTAACTACAGTACGTGGCTGTTTCATTTCCTCATGTTACTGTGTTTTGCAAGCAAACTGCAGCTTCACAAAAATGGCCAAGAGGGACAATGTCAGGGCCTGAGAGGAGGTCTGCTTTTAAAGCAGATTGCTTGTCCTGCTGTGAAGTAGCAAAAAGCTAGAGAGGGCAGTGCCTGGAGGAGGCACTGCTGTGTAGGTCAAGTTCTTCGACAGCAGAACCCTCTAGCAGAAGTTGAGCTTTCAGCAACTGTTGGACACAATAGCTCCTGAGCAGTTTCTGAATGGACTTCTGAAAGTATCTATTTTCACAAAATTAGAGTTGTGGACAATGAACCAGCTTCGTGATCCACATCTGCTTCTTTTTCCTGGAGTGGTGGTATGGTTTAAAGCCGGTATGTGTTCCCAGATCTGTTTCCTTCACAATAGAAAGTCCTGGATTCTTGTACATTTCAGAAGGTTAGCGGCACCCATATTTAACAATATAAATTATGAAAAGAACACAGTCACTTCAGAGGTTAGCTGGGTAAACAGTACATGAAGTTTTGTAGATATCAGGGAATTTCTGAAGCTGCACTTGGCCATTTTCTCTAAGCCAGCCTTTTTGGACCTGGATATTTGGCTAATGGACATTTTTAAAAAACTGATGGAGTTTTTATAGGTTTTTATTTTCACTAAAATTCTGTTTCTGTTAGTTCTTGTTTGTTCCATTGGGAGGCTCAGACTTCACTATTAACCATTGTAAAAAAAAACAACCCTCTTTTTTTACCTCAACTTTTCCTTTGAGTCCCCAGAAACCATTTCCTTAATTTTATAAGACTGACAATTTAGAAAAACTTTTAACCAGTTTGGACTGATTGAAGTTTAGGAAGATGCATTTTAGGGGGAATTAACACGTATACATGCATTATTGGTAGTTTGGTTAATTATTTTTATTTGCAACTCTAACCTTGCTTTCCATTTATAAATTGCAGTTTTATATTTCATTCATACATTCTTTTTATTCTTATATTTCAGTTATTGCAGAGTTTTTATATTTTTCTCATTTATATGCTTTGATTTAATAAATATTTGCAATTTATTTTGTTTTTCAGTATATACATACATAAGAGGGGATCAGCATTGCACCCATTGCCTCTGCCCATGATTTCTATGTGTTAAGTGAAAGTGACCTTTTTGGTTATAATTTATCTGTTTCTGTTTTTAACGTTGTTGTTTTTATATTGATGCATGATACTTTTAACTTGTAACTCTGAAATTGTTTGCAATGAAGAAAGGGATATAAATATTTATAACAAATAAATAACAGTGTGAAATTGGCCTCTATGTGTGTATAGCTATGACCCTGTGTGAACAGGGTTCCCAATTTATTAACAGACTTTTGCACAATTAAGTACTGTACAGTGTACAGCAATTAGCTTGATGGTTATATAGCTTGCCTTGTAACATACTGAATATCTTGTGTGGCTGTTTGGAGTTTTTAAAGAAGGCATATTAGTGCCCGTAAATGAGCTATCCATAATTGTCCAGCAGTAAAAGCTGACCAAGAAATCTGGCAGAAATGGGTGGAAACACAGCTGAAATAATATTTTTGTGTGAAACAATAGTTTATGGTTGCCCTTCGTTTATTTTATGAAAACAAGGTATTGTATAACTAAAGGCATACATAAGTTGCTTGTTTCTGCTAAATGTACTATATGGAAAACTATATGGAAAAAAAAATAAAATGAACAAAGCATTGAGGATGCCTGTCCCATAATATCTGAGGGGCCACATGTTCTCCACTTATAAAATATGTGAAGCTGGCCAGTTTTTAATTAACCAAAGCCAACACTGGTTTAAGCAGCCCCAGGTAGGGCCAGCACAATAATCACTGAGCCATGGGGTTAACCAGTGCCAGTAAAACAACACTATCTCAGTGAATGCTGCCGCCCTCATGTCCTGTTAAAGCTCAAAATTGAGCAGCCTGCTTCTTAAGAAAAATTATTGCAGGACCACTAGAAGACTGAGTTCCTTATCTTCTGTTAGCAATTGCCTGCAGTCCTTAAACCAAAAGCTCCACCTCCTTTCTGACAGAGGGAGAAGGGAGTCAGCAAGCTTAGAAGACTTTGTGTGTATGATTTTAAAAAACAAAGGTTTTTGAGGATATGCAATGCCACCCATCCACTCTGTTGAAGTCTGCTACAGGAATTCTACTGTATTCTGGGGGCTGGCCAATTGTTTCTTTTCTTTTTGGAGCTGAACTCCTCCCCTTCTGCAGGCCCAGGCTTACTAGCTATATTGTAGCTATTCTCTGCAGCTTCTAAGAGCAGATTCAGACCTGTTGCCTTGGTGTGGTGGGCCTGCAGAGGGTTGCCTGCCATGGAGTCTCAAGACGCAGCTGCTCAGTCTCTCCGGGCCCCCAAATGCTCACGCTGCCGGAACCACGGCTTTGTGGTACCCGTGAAGGGCCACGCAGGCCACTGCCGCTGGAAGCAGTGCCCATGTGAAAAATGTGCTCTCATTACTGAACGCCAGAAGATCATGGCTGCGCAGAAGGCCTTGAAGAGGCAGGGACCGGACTCGCCACTCAGGGAAATGTTGCCACCTGGTCAGCACAGTCCAAGCGATGAACAGGTGGCAACCACAGGTAGCGGCAGAAAGTGCTCCAGGCTGAATCTTTCAGAACCCCACAACCAGGGGTCTGTTGTGCAGGAAGGAGCCAAGGGGACTTCTGCAGCAGTTAGCCACTCTATGAGGACAAGGACTGCCAGAACACCACCCAAACCCAGCTCTCCAACTTTCATAGACTTAGGTATGTGGTCCAGCTCAAAGCTCTGCTTCAAACAGGCTGATGTGTTCATAGCCATTATTTTAATGTATTTTTAATCTTTGTTGGAAGCTGCCCAGCCACATGGGCGGGGTACAAATAAATAATAATAATAATATATTTTATTTTATTTTATTTTGCATATATGCACCAAATGTTCCACCTGCTCTGCCTCAATAATTTCTGTTTTCTGTTGTGGAGATTTGGTACTGGTGCTATTTTGGGATTTCTTCTTCCCTGAAAAGATAGCATGGATTTATTTATTTATTTTGCAGTTCCATATCCTGCTTGAGGACTTTGTAGCTGCAGGAATTTAGTCTTGGAGGCTGCTTGACCATGTTTCATTGTTGCAGAAAAGAAAGAAAAACCACCCCTCAAATCTATGCAGCCGGTCTTTGTTTTAAGAGTGAAATGAGCTTGCAGCAGGCCCTGCGCAGCACTGAATTGCCAATAGAGCAACAAGACTAACCCAGAGTCTAGACTTAAAATGAAGTTTGTTGTATTTTACAGACATCTCCTTTAGCAAGGGGAATATATCACAGCCAGTGCAAATAAACAGGGAAGTTACTGCCATTTGTTGGGACCGGGTGTGTAAAATATAAAAGAGAAAAGCAAACCTGAGATTTGACTGTCTTACGAAAAATAATTTTTGCAATGAAAGTGGTGCTCATATGTGGCTGCTTTTACAAATATCTAGAGCTGCAGTGAATTTTGGGAGGGAAAAATCAAGATCTAATTTTGCAAAATTAAATTTTATTTTACAATACTTAGATTTTTTTGGTCAGCATTCTCATTATTGAATTTAAGGGTTAAAGTAACAACATGGAGTTTAGAAAATGTTAAATCTAGCAAGTTGATAGCAATACTGCCTTAAATCAACAAGCTGTTAGTAAAACAAATTTATCAAAAACATATATGTTGCAAAATGTTGTATTTAAGCTCTGCAATTTTCCTCAGTTTTAAATTTTCAGAACATGTTGGTTCAGTTCTAAAAAATATGTGGTTAATATGACTTCAACATGCTCTCTAGCTGTTTCATTCTATTATCTCTATTTTGTGCTACCTTTAATTGTGGTTTGCCATCTACTGGTTTGTCAGTGTACTAAACACTATTAAAACAGCCTATATGATATTCTTTTATTTAAACTTAGCATTAAATCTGTGAGCTTGTTTTCAAATGCATCAGGTTGTGTTTTGCTTTGTTTCGAAATACTGATAAATCTTCCAGCCACAAGTGCTGCAAATTCAGAGGCCCTGGTAGTGTTTAACTTTGCTTCAATACTACATGGTGTCTAGAATCTTTTAATCTGTGAGTAGGAATGGTGTCTCTGGACATTCTCCAACTGGGTGGGAGCCATTTATCCACAAGTACCTCTACATAGCTGTAAAAACATTTAGATAACCCAGCCAGAGGCGTAATTGGGTCCCTTGCGCCCTTGGCAAGGAGCTGTATTGGTGGGACCACCCCCAGAAAAAAATCTGACTTTACCGTAATAGCCACATTAGAAATTGCTGTGTTTTATGCTACCTAAGTACTTGAAGTGACCAGAGTTAGTGTGAGGATTGGAGGAAGGGTGAAAACATTTGCATGTCTTTGTTCTGTGGTGCAATAAGGATGGTAAGCTTGTTCCACTTTTGATCTCACCACGACAGTACCACCTTCATACCACCTTGCCATTTCTCCTACAGCTCAGCTCCCCACTCTTGTCTAAATTCACAACTTTACAGAGATAGCTGGAGAAAGATTTATGGGGTGATTATTGCTTCTCCCTGGGCCTGCGCCTTGAGCAAAGGCCTGTTTCACCAGCCCCTAAGTACACCTCTGAACCCAGCTATGTAGGTACAACCCAGTTGTAAGGTTCTTTCCAACAGACCTGGCAATTTGCCCCAGTGCAGTGAGAATTATGACCTTCTCCCCATGTTTTGGCAATTTAAGCATCCTAGCTGCATAGAACTGGTCCTGGATAATCATCTCATACAATCTCAATCATACAATGTTGGGAAGACATCTAAAAAGGACCTACTCATGATTATACAAATAGTGGAAGCACAGCATTTTCAAGATGCTAAAATACATGGAAATCTTACATATATTGTTTATAACACTATTCCGTTCAACTATTCTATTTCTCTGTAGACCAGCCTCAAGAATGTACTGTTGTGGGCCCAGAATCTGTGGACAGGGAGACTCCAAAAGTGTATCCCGGGTACTCTGGGATGTACCCTTACCATCCATTTTCTGTTGGATTCACTATCAACCAAACAGGCTACAGAGGCCCTTCACCTGCCTCTGTCTTGCCCCTGCAAGCAGGTTTCAGGCACTTTCCTAGCAGTCATGGGCCAGGAGGTGTTGCTTCTATGCCAGTAAGTGACATTTTATCCATAGTACTGCTTAATGCAAGCTCTGCTTGAATGCAGGAGCTCAGGTCTTGAAATATCCTTACAAAAAGAGAGAGAGAGAGAGAGAGAGAGAGAGAGAGAGAGAGAGAGAGAGAGAGAGAAAGAAAGAAAGAAAGAAAGAAAGAAAGAAAGAAAGAAAGAAAGAAAGAAAGAAAACCCTTTGCCTCTGGTAGCATCAGTCTTGAATTGTATGTAGACAAAACAAAAAAGGGGTAAATTTCAGGGTTATACAAATCTTGTCCCTTTAATTTTAAATCTTGTCCCTTTAATTTTCCAACTCCTGGTCTTGAATATAGATAATATCTCTGGGAGTGTTTCAGATCAGCTACTATTAGGAACTGTACAAACTGGATGCACATTGGAATGAGCTTCCAGACAGGCAGCTCCTAGTGCCATCCATTCATGGCTTTTCTGCTGTAAGCTACAATTGGAATTGACTTTCTATACTATTACTCTATGTATAGACCTGCTGTGTTCCATCCTCATTACTGGATGTGAAACAGCTGATGTGGGTGGAAAAGAAGGTCCAAATCATGTGAGCAGCGACTGAAAGAGAAGCGTGCATTTGTTATACTGATAAAGCAGTCTATAAATTTTGTTAAATGAAAAAATAAAGACAGCCTTTGTAGCTGGTGCCATTTTAGCAGCTTGCTTAGTTTTGAATCAATATTTAATGCCAGTGTGTATTTTATGGCTATCTGCTTTTAATCAAAGGGGTATTATAGTGGTAATAAAAACTAAAAATCCTCCCTGATCACTGCCATTAACCAAATTGCTAAAATGGTGTTGACGAGAAAGGGGTTTTTACTTCATAAAAAAAAGTAAAGCCAGAAAAGCATTTTAGTGCTAATTAAAATATCAATTAAAAAAAAGCAGAGTAATAAAATTGTTTCCACCACAAAGGCAACAGCATATATATGTTGTGATAGATCAATGCCCACAGGAAAATATTGCTGTTCTAAAAAGATATTTAAGTATGGTACTTCTAAGGGCATCCACACCTGTGGAGATTGCGTTACTCTTCTGTTCTTCTGAAAAAGGTGCCTGTTAGGCATCAGGATGCCTCATGGAAACTGATTAATCAATTGCATAATAAAGTCAGACATTTCGGTGTATGTCTGTTCTTCTGAGGAAAGACAGTAGAACAGGAAAAATACAATGCAACAGCTGTGTAGCTGTCTTGTAAAGAGTAAGTGAACAAAACATGACTATCCCACACAAAATGCCAGGTGTGGAGTACCTTAAATGTGATTTAACCACTACTTTCAACAGATATGCGCATCCAAGTTCAGGTGTTCTCCTTTACTTTCAGTGGGGTATGTATTTGGTTGTTCACTCAGAAATAATCCTCATTTTAAATACCCAGCTCCCAGTTGGCACAAAATATAGTGTATCCATAAACTGATAATTGTTTCTTCAAAGTGAAAGTAAATCATACAGAATTTGACAGAAGGTGGTTTCAAGGTATCTACGCTAGGGGAACCCACATCAGAAACTGAACCTGCTGGATAATTGAACTAATCATTCTCTTGGGGTTTTAGGGGTCTTTTCTTTTTTTTTAGTACATATTGCAACTGGCTCCTGTTAGGGCCCATGTACATGGAGAACTTTGCCCATGTTCCCAGTTTTGCACTTGAATGGAAGCTCAGGACACCGTAAATGGAAATGGTATGGAAATGGAAATGCAAAATGGGTTCCCAGTATGATGAAAACTGCCATAATTTCCCCAGTCAACCTGGAATAGGGTAGCTAGGTGCAAAAAGGGACAGGGCTCCTGTAATTTATCGGTAGCAGCTTGTAATGCAAGCTATAGCTGTAGAATTTCCTTCTTCTGCACAACTATTAAAGCTGCAGGACCCTGGACATAAGTTCATAAGGAAAGCCAAAGGCCCATCTACTCCAGCATACTGTTCTTTCAGTGGCCAACCAGATGGAAGCCTGCCAGCAGGTCCTGAGTGCCACAACACTTTCCCCACATTTGGTTCCTAGCAAATGGTATTCAGAGGCATCCTATATTTGACACTGGAAGTAGAGCATAGCCACAATGAACTCTTTTGCTCCTGGTCAACCTACCCATAAATCTTCGTAAACAGTTCAGAATTATATAATGATAAAACACATTTTGTCTTAGCCTCCTGTCCTTTTATGTATTCACACTGAAACCAAATACCTTTGTCTCTTTGCCTTCACGCAGATGCAAGATGTAGGTGGGGATTTTTGTCCAGGTTATTACACTCCATTGCCACCTTTCATACCTCAGGGATTTCTGCCAGGGATTCACTACATTCCGCCGCCTCTCCCACTGAATGTTGTGGCCGAAGCTACAAAGGAAACATCTGGTAAGCATTCAGAAGGTTCCGTTTGTTGCATAGCAGGTGTGTTGTGGCTGTCCACCCAGACAGGAAGGGGATAAATAACAACTGAGACAAGTGTATGGGCCGCAACTTTCACATGGCTACAGTGAGGTAAGCATGGCATTAGGTTAGGATCCGTTATCCTGAAAGACTCCTGATATGGATGCCAATACGCCATCCCAGTATGCCTGTTGGGGAATCCCATGGAGGTTGGCTAGTGTGAAAGGACGCCATGTGACTAGTATCCTGCTGGTAACCTGATATGAATAGTGACAGGAGTGGACCGCCTGGGCCAGACCTGGTGGGAGGGTCCCAAAGATGACAATGATTATATATTTATTTATAATCTCCCTTTCTCCCTGACAAGGACTCAAGGAAGTTTACAGATAAGAACAGCTAAAAGCATAGAAGAAACTATCATTAAAAAGCAATTAAACAGCAATAGGAAAAAAAGACTTTGGCAATCCCACCTGCCACTGAACTCAGTGTGTTTTGATTATATGCAATTTTGGCTTTATGCACTATCCCTGGAGTGTAACTCCTGCGTTAGTCGAGAGTCACCTGTACTCTGTACTGACTGGCAGCTGTTCTCCAGGGTTTCAGGCAGGAATATTTCCGTTACCAAGAGACACTAGGCATCGAACCTATAACCTTTTGCCCTGTGTTTTACCACTGAGCTATAGCACTTCCCTCTTTAGCATGGTCCTTCTTAAAATATTTAGCTCCTGTTTGCTTTTCATCTTGAATTGTGGAAATATAAATTAATAGCTGCTTTCAGATCTGGTAAGGTCAAGGAAAAACCACACACACAAAAACCCCCTTAAGTATTGTATTTACCTTTCTTGGTTTCATGCCTTTAGCCCAGTGTAGGGGAAAATCAAGCATACTATGGGCAACCTTTGGCTGGCTCACAGCCGTGATACAGAAACATTTTCCACAGTTTCAAACAGAGTTAACTTTTCTCTTCAGAAGAACTACTTTTCCTGTTCTGCCACAAACATGGCTGATATAAACATGCTGAAATAACTCATGAAATAGCTCTTATTTGTATGTTCATGCCTACCTGTTGTTTTTTTTTTTAAATCCTATGTATGAAAAGCTAGCACATCAAAGAAAAGGCTAGACTTGAAACTCTTTCCCTATACACGTGCTTTGTTTTTGATGCAGAGAATCACTCACAACTATGTGACCTAAATACATACTCTGAAGCACCACATACTGTTTTGTGTACATAATTAGGTTGCCTGAAAACTGAAAAATTGTTTGCTTCCTAGCAGCAGTTTGTCTCAAGCTGAGAAGGTATGTTTTGAAAAGCTGCTAACTTTCAACATGGCAACAAAGTTCATTTTGTAAAAGCACTATATGTGTATTCTCCTTTGCTTGCAAGATGCTTTTTTCTAATGGATCTAGCTGATAGTGCTGTCTGGCAGGTACACTTCTGCTAGTAGTGAAATGCTCCTTCAACCCTTGCTTTCATAAGTATCTTTATCTGGTTTAGTCCTATGTGGATTTAGTCATACGTATCTTTAGCCAAATGGATTTACAGAAAGTCAGGTATCATTGACGGACAGTTCTAAGACATACTCATAGATGACCCAGACTAACAAATCCATTAATTTCAGTAATCTATTCAGGTTATGAGTCAGATACCACCCCAGATTTTAAAGGAACAGAGCTAATCTTTCCATTCTTTTCTCACATTCTATGGCATGAATGTGGGACGTGAAAATTATTTTTGGAGTTTTAAGTTCTGATGTTTAATTTTTGAGTAGCCACAAGAGGGCAAACTACTTGGAAATTAATCTCAAACTCTTTAGAGTTGTCAATTTGGGGGGGGCGGTTGTTTGAAACTTTAAGGATTTTATAGCATCTTTGTAGACTACATAAAGTAAGTTGTATATTTGCAGTAGTATTGGGGAGTTGATCTAATAAGCCACCATCTGCAAACTAGAAAGATACAAGCTATAATAACATGAGGTGATAAGCTTATTTGTATTTCAAATATTTGAATGATTCAAGATCAAAAATGGACATGAAATTAAAACAAACAGAGAATTCCTTGGATTAATTGTAAAGAGCAGATTCATACAAAGAACCTGAAATCACTGGATTGTTCTTCTGCTTCTCTATTTCAGCTACACCTGCAGGTAGCCAGGATTCTGGAGTGATATCTGAACGCAGCCTGCCATCTTCTCAGGAAGACGCCAGTGGAAAATGTTCCTCATATTCTGAGCACTAAATGCACCAAAAAGTCATGTTCAAATGTTGACTTCAAGTGGTGCCATTCTGAAAGTGATGTTTTGTTTTGCGTCACTGACTGGTCACGTCAGTATTTGGGTTGGTATTGTTCACAACATTTGGTCTATCAGGTGCTATCCACCCAGGAATTTCCGCTGCTTGGTGCCTTAGCGCCAAAGTGGAAGTTTAGGAATCTTCATAGTCGGTTTCTGACATGCAGATGGGCAGGAAGTTAATGCAGGCTCAACTCAGGATTAATGTAAACTGTAGGAGATCAGATGTGCTCAAGTACATGCGAGCCCTAAATAAAGTTGTGCTTTGTCATACTTTCACACCACCTCCCAGCCTGTGGTTGTGAAAGTGGATATTCTAGCCATTTCTAGGCTTGCCAGCTTTTGTTATCTGCTTCTGTCTGAGCCTTCAACAAGAGTTTGCTATGTAGATATTAGCAGGCGATAATGATTATCTCCATTGTTTGAAAAGTTTGATTTACTAATTCTTCCATTTCAGGCTGGTATTAAAACCCCAGAATCAGGCTAATTCTTTTTCTGACAAGTTGGCAGCCCTAACTTACGCTTGTGCTGCAGCTGTGTTTTTCTTTCAAAGTTCAGGAGAGGAACTATAGAGGGATGGCTCAGACACTTTTTTATGCTTCAGTGGGTATTAGAGCTGCAATACACATAATGGGAAGAACCTTCTCCCTAAACAGAAATGTTTATAGGGAAATAACTGTTGAGTTTCAAGGGCCTGCTAATGATAACAGACCATGAATAGAGTTGTGGTTCATATGGCTGAACAGTTGGGATAAATTTGGGATAGTAGAGTTACAGTTACCACTATGATTAAGGCCTCATCTGCACTATACATTTAAAGCAGCGTCATACCACCCTAGACAGTCAGGGCCTTCCCCAAAGAATCCTGGGAACTGGTCTTTTTGTTTATGATGCTGTGAGGGATTAGAAGACCCCTGTTCTCCTCCCAGAGCTACAATTCCCAGAGTTCTCAGGGAAGAGAGGTTGGGTGTTAAAAAACTCTGAGAAGTGTTACTCTGGGAGGAGAACAGGGATCCCCTAGCAACTCTAAGCACCCTTAACAAACAAGTTCCCAGGATTCTTTGGGGGAAGCTCTGACTGCTTCAAGGCCTTTAAATATACAGTGCAGGCAGGGTCTAAGTGTAGCTCTTCATGCTCAGTGTTTGAATTGTGTCATTTATATAACTGTTTCATGTTAATTATGGCTTAGTCCAAAACCAGAGACAAGAACTGGGGAAGAGCAAGGAAAATGTGCACTTGATGACTCTCTGCTTACTCAGCCTTTACTTTGGGGGAAAAAGAGCACAGTTCTTACCTGATAGGAAAGGAGGAAGATTTATTTTTGTAATAAATCAGAATAAGAATGAAGAACAGCATTCCGCTTTAATGTGTTCCGTTGTAAAAAGACCAGCTACAAATGTTAGTTTCACTTTCTTTGCTTAAATCTATTAAACACTGATACTGACCTTAAGTTTTGAAATGTCACATTTTTGTTCTGAAACAGACATCAAATGTTTAAAAGGCGGAGGGGACATTAACAAGGATATTTTTATCTGAATACAATTACTGCTACAGTTGTTGAAGAATTAATGGAAAATTCAAACATATACCTACTTGGCTTACCTAATGAGCAGCAATAGAAGGATTAATAAAAACTTCCTATTTCAAGTGACCGAACAACATCCAGAGTCAAAGGCATTTTAGTCAGGATGCGTTTTACCATATCACTGTAGGCTGAAATCACTCTTTATTATCACAAATGAGCCAGGATGGACAAATTATTGTGGCCTAGTGCACTAGGTCAAAATCCATCATGTAAGAAATTCTTGTGTACAAACTCAACCAAAATGAGAGCTGTGCAAGACTACTTGTGTGAGCATGTGTTACAACTACTTAGGTGAACATGTGTTATAACTTGGGAGTATTATCTTTTAGTATTTTAGTTCTGAATCAAACACTATATTTAAAAGGTGACCCTGAATTTGAAATTCATAACACTGAAGACAAACAGCAGTTGGATCAAGAGATCATGGATCATTGCTTTGCAATGATGTATGGGGTTCTGCTTGTTTTTGTAGTGCTACAGATGTAAGCTTTTGAATTTTCTGGCTTTCAGGTCAATATTCTATATTCTAAATAACTATAGTGTATTTAAATATAAAATAATCTTTCTTTTTTGTTTGTTTGTGGATCCATGAGAGTGGACTTTTGTGATGTACACTGGTACCTCGGGTTACATATGCTTCAGGTTACAGACTCCGCTAACCCAGAAATAGTACCTCGGGTTAAGAACTTTGCTTCAGGATGAGAACAGAAATCGTGCTCCAGCCGCATGGCGGCAGCAGGAGGCCCCATTAGCTAAAGTGGTGATTCAGGTTAAGAACAGCTTCAGATTAAGAACAGACCTCCGGAACGAATTAAGTACTTAAACCAAGGTATCACTGTATAAGAAAGTATGAGAGAGAGAAGCCAATTGTCATAAGTATGGCAAACTATTTTTTTACCTAGTCTTGTAGTTATTGGTGCAACAAGAGCCCCAAATCCTGAAATTTATTGTTCATTTCATCAGTTCGCTAGTGAAGGAGGTGAGCTACACTAGGAGATTATAATTGTAGATTAAAATGTTAGTTTATCGTACCAATTAATAGGACTATCACCCTTTTAAATAAATCTTAGTCAATTAATCATGTTAGTTTTAATCATTTAAATGATTAAATATGTATACATCTGTATTTGAATGAGAGAGCATTGAGGAAAAAAGTATACATAGTTTGTGGTTCTAGACTCAAAACTGCACCTAGATGCTCAGATATCAGTGGTGGCTAGGACTGCTTTTTACCAACTTTGAATTACACGCCAAAAGTCATTTCTTGTTAATTTGAGATTGGATTACAGTACTGCAGTATGTTCTACATGGAGCCGTCATTAAATAATGCCCAAAAGGTTCCATTAGTTCCACATGCAACTGCCAGCTGTATCACATTATGCCAATCCTTTACTAGCTTCGCTGGCTTCTGATTTGCTTCCAGCCATGATTCAAGGTGCTAGTTTTGATGTTTAAAATGCTAAATGACTAAGTCTCAAGACTGTGAGCCACTGAAGAAAGTTCAGTAAAAACTCTCATTTCAGTGGAGTTTTTCAGGACCGTTTCCTAACTATTTACAAAAATTATTTTTAAAAAATCTGCTGTTGCAGTCCCCCATTATTATTTTTCTTACTGGCTGGGGGAGGAGTTGCATCTGTTTTTGTGCTTTTCTGCTGTAAACTGTCATGAGTATCTTGCCAGAAAGGTAATGAAGAAACCACCCAAAGTGGCTGGGGAGGCCCAGCCAGATGGGCGGGGTATAAATAATAAAATTATTATTATTATTATTATTATTATTATTATTATTATTATTATTATACATAATAAACACATCACCCTAGTCCTTGCTCACTGGTAGGCATAATTTTGAATTAGCGTCCTCGCTTACTGTGCCTGGCAAGGCTGACAGTGAGCCTGGATAGCTCAGTTGGTTAGACCATGGTGCTGATAACACCAAGGTTGCAGGTTCAATCCCTGTATGGACCAGCTGCATATTCCTGCATTGCAGGGGGTTGGACTAGATGATCCTCAGGGTCCCTTCCAACTCTACAGTTCTGTGATTCTGTGATACTTCTCATAATGAATCTGGGGTGTGCATCCGATCTTGGCAATAACTGATGATGTAGAGGACTCGAAAATGGGTCGATACGTGTGTGTGTTTAGTGGGGCGGGAAGGACGGCAAAACGGAGCCTTGTGTCCTGTAGCATTTTAGGGGTTAAGCCTGGAATAGATTTGATTGAGCGGAAAGTGGTGGGGAGAAGTGGAGAACTGACGTCAAAGATCAAGGCTGGGCCGGGCTGAGCCTTCATCAGAAAGGTGCTACTAATACGCAGGACAGAACAAGACACGGCTGTAGAGGAGAGCCGACGGGAAGCAGCCGCAGACTCGGCCAGAGGGCGCTACAGTCCCAACAAGTTGCAAGTGCGACGAGGCTTTGCTGCCGTCTAGCAAAGTGAAGCCCCACCTGTGCAGGTGCCTTCAGGCCCACCCAAAAAAAAAAAGTAGCTACAGTTTCAGAAGGCCTGAGACAGCGAGCAAGAGGTCCGTCATGTTGCCCTTGCCCTCCAGGCGGCAACGAAAAGCTAAGCCTGCCCGCCCCGTCAATTCTTCGGAGCTCCCCGGCCATGAGGGCGAGGGCGGCTGCGGCGCTTTCAGCACCGTCTCGCGGCGCCTGCTGAGCCAGCGACTGCCCAAGTGCGCGCGCTGCAGGAACCACGGCGTGGTGTCCAGCCTCAAGGGCCACAAGCGGCTGTGCCGCTGGCGGGAGTGCGCGTGCGCCGCGTGCTTGCTGGTGCTCGAGAGGCAGCGCGTGACGGCCGCGCAGGTGGCGCTGAGGAGGCGCCAAGACCAGGTGGCCGGCCAGGTGAGTGGGCGCGCGCGCGCCTTGCGCGGGGGAAAAACCAGCAGGGGCGGGAAACACAACGCCGGCAGCAGAGGAGGGCCAGCAGGGCCCCTCTCTTCATGCTGACGGCTCTGGAGTCCTTAAGAGGCCATAACATAATAATAATAATAATAATAATAATAATAATAATAATAATAATAATAATAATATAATATAAAAAAATAATGGTGGTGATGATGATGGTGACAGTTAATAATAATTTTATTGTTTATACCCCACCCATCTGGCTGGGTTTCCCCAGCCGCTCTGGGCGGCTTCCAGCAAAATATAAAAATAATAATAAGAAAATGTCAGACATTAAAAACTTACCTGAACAAGTTGCTTCAGCACTGAGTTGTATTAATTTCGGTGGTGGAGCAGCAGAACGGTTAGTAATGACTAAAGAAATCCTCTCAGGCGGTGGTGGGGGGGGGAATGGCAGAAACGCCTCAGGGCATGTGATGTGGGGGCCCCTCAGAGGGCCACACTTGCCAGTATAGGCAACTCTGGCAAGTTGAATAGTTGCTGTTTAAACCAAGAATGTACTAGTCCCTGTATAAGCAGGACCACAACCCCCCCCCAGGCATACCCCCCAAAATGCCTTTATTCGTTGCAATGCAGGAGCATCTTCAGCTGTGAAGTTTTTTTCCTGTAGCAAAGCACAAAGCTTCAGTTGCTGAATTTGCTCCAGTAAGTTCAGCTGGCTTTAGTTTTAGCTTCATTAGTGTGTGCCCTGGGCAGTGGGATGGGCTTTTTGCTTAGCTTCTGGGCCCATGCAAGCTTTATAGGGCAGTAAGCAAAAAATAAAGCATCTGCATCAGGAAGACCTTTCTGGCGGTAAGTGGTGTTAGACATTGGAATGGACTCCTTGGGAAGGTGGTGGACTCCTCTCCTTTGGAGGTTTTTAGGCAGAGGTTGGATAGTCAACTGTCATGGATGCTTTGGTTGCAATTCCTGCACTGCATGGGTTTGGACTAAATGACCCTTGAGGTCCCTTCCAACTCTACAGTTCTATGATTCTAAGTGATACAAGAACAAACGGGGAGGATGTGGAGCTGAGGAATAATGTAAGGAAAGTAACCTTAAAACTGCCCTCTCCCGAAGCACCTTTTCCTGAGAAAGTCACTGAAATCTGGTTCTACGTTTCAGCTAAAAACAAGTCCCAGTCTTTAGTGAGCTTTGCCTCATGTAGATCGAAGCTGAGTAGCTTTAACTTTTAAATGGGATGGATTCAGTGTAAATAATTTAAGCTTCTTAAATTAATTTGGGTGCTAGTGGAGCTGTCTGGTCCTGGCACCGTAATTGGTTTACTGCTATTGAAGACAAGTTCCCTTTCTTTGAGTTCATGTTATATGTTATATGTATTTAAAACAGCAATAATAAACCCCTAATGTAAACTATATAATTGTAATGCATCCTGGGGAAAAGTTGTCTTTTGATCATAATGCAGCTTTTCTTATTTGCTTCCAAATAGCTTGAATGTTTTCAGTATTATTTTAGCAGGCAAGCATGGACATTGTTAGTAAGCAAAAATAGCTATGGTGCTGAGGAATGCCCTCTTCTTTTTGTGATTGCATAGGTTAAGAAAGGAATGAAGAGCAGTGAATGTTCAGTTTCTGGCCACAGATTAAACTTCCATTGCAAGACCAAGCAGACTGCCAGGTTGTTGGCTAGACACTCACCGGAAGGTATGTGCCTGCATGTAGGAAATACACTTGAAACAAACCTAGTAGGTTCTTCCCTTTTAATGTATTCCATTATAAAATGTGGTATTGATATAGGACAATAAGTTGTTATAGCTGTGAAGTGAATGTTTATTTTATATTCCTGACACATTCCTTAAATCAGTGTTTCCCAACCTTTTTTGGGCAAAGGCACACTTGTTTCATGAAAAAAATCTCGAGGCACACCACCATTAGAAAATGTTTTAAAAATTAACTCTGTGCCTATATTGACTATATATAAACTTTTACTTATGTAAAAAAAATAATAAAAAAATAGTAACAGCATAGAAGGTAATGGTTAGGCCCTCTTCCAAATATGCTGGGTTTTTATTTGCAGGGACTGTTCTACATGGGAAAGCATTCAGCACTGTCATTCTCCCATCAGCTATCTGAATTGGTACTATTCTGGGTCAACTTACTCTGCTGCATGTGTAGATGAAAATGGCACCAAGTGTGGGGGAGGGGGCAGAACAGGTTTCAGATACAGGATATTAAGCATACACGTACTTCAGATTGAACTGGTTGCTTGCTTTGCAAGTTTTCATTTCCCAAATGACTGCCTTGGCAAGCGCAATACCTACCAGGCTCAAGGCCGGTCTCGCGCTGCCACTTCCCGCGCTCTCAAGGACCCGAGAGGAGGAAGGCGTGAAGGGAATCCCGAATACCTGGGCCTAAGCCATCCAGGGCTTTAAAACTTAATTTTGAACTGGGCTCAGAAATGAACATGAAGGCAGTGCAGCTGTTCCCTATGACTGGAAGCCAACGCACACAGTCCAGGCTCCCATCAATAGTCTGGCTGCAGCATGCCAAACACTTAGCAGTTTCAATCCTGTGTTGAGCATGCTACAGTCATCCAAACATGGCATCACTAAGGCACAAATGGCCAGATCAGCCATTTCAAGGGGCAGATGCAATGGGCACACCAACCTAACTTGCTCAGAAGCACTCCTAGCTGCAGCAACCACCTGAGCATCCAGATTTAAAACCGAGTCTAGGAGGATGGCTAACCCCATTCAAGACAGGTCGCATTCTGGTCCCTGGACTGGCCATTCAACTTGACCAGGAGCATGGAAGACCTTTGCCATCTCTGGATTGCGTTTCCATTGACTTGTCCACCCACAGACTTGTGCTGCCTCAGAGCAGATGCACAGGGAGGCAGGCACTGCCTGTTGACCTCCCCATTGAGAGCCATCAGTGGGCTTGGTGGTGGCTATGTTCCACTTCCACCTCTGAATACCAGTTAAACTCCAGTCCTGCTTGTGGGCTTCCCAGAAGAGACATCTGGTTGGCCAACGTGGTCTGAACTAGATGGGTCCCCCTTGGCCAGATCCAGCAGCAGGGAGCATTTTTAATGTTCTGAAACTGACTCTGAAAGTGGGTGCAGAGTAGGGCCATTGTGCTTAAATTAATGACCAGTGGCCTGGTCTTGGGTCTGGGGACTTCGCTGTTCCCAGGTCCCAATGGGTCAAATAGCAGGGAGCTCAGATAAGGAGCAGGTGCAGGTTTGCCCCACAACCACAAGATGGGAGAGCGGTAGAGCCAGTTTTCCTTTGCTTTGAACTAAAGGCACCCTTTATCAAAGTTCTTTTTCCTTAGGCACTGGTGTGTGTTGTCTTGAACTATACACTATTTAATATACCTATTCCAGTATGATTTTAAATAAAAATAGAAGAAGAAATAATAATGATTTTTTTAAAAAGATGACGAGATGGGCTTCCAGGCAGACTGGAGCTCCAACGGGGAGGAGACAGGAGCCTGTCCCAACAGAGCAGAGCAGAAGCAAATGTTGCCTCCCCCCGCCCTGCCACCGCACTCAGGAGTCGGAGGATACGGAGCTGCAGTTTGGACAGCAGCAGTTTCTTCCTTGCAAGGGAGCCCCAGCGGCACTGCGGGTGCGGGTGGCCAGGATGTCCTGCTGGGGCCCCGAGCTGCTGCAGTTGCTCCCGGGGAGGGGGCTAGTCCTCCGGGCCCGGAGAAAGCCGGTGTGTTGGCGCGGGGAGGGGGGCGGTATTTCGTAGCCAGGCTCCCGCAGCCAAGTTGCTGGCAGGCGCCCACTTTGCTCCAGCCACCCAGATGCCGGTGCGGTCCTCTTCAGGGTGGGAGGCGCCCCTGCTTTGCGGTGTGGCACACCGCCCGCCCGCCCGGCTCCCTCCACCCCACTCTGCGCAGCTGAACCGGCAGCAGCTTCGCCTCTCCCTGCCCAGCCCGGGCGCGCCGCCTGCGGCAGGACCTGCGCCGGGTCCCCGCTCTCCACTCGCCTCCGCCTTTCCCTTCCCCGCCTGCCGGCCCCGCTACCTACCCACCAGGGCGACCCCCAGCCAGCCCCTGGCCCCGCCGCCCGCGCCCCCAGCCATCTCCTCGCCAGCTGCAGCGCCGCAGTGGCCTCTTCTTCCGGCCCGAGCGAGCGAGCGGCGTCCCAAGTGTGCCTCTTGCTCCGCCGCTGCCTGCCCTCGCTACCAGCCTCCACGGCTCTCTCGGGCTCCAAAAGTTGCCGCGTGCGCGACCCGCCCCCTCGAGCAGCCGCGCCTGGGAGGCTCCGAGGGGCGGAGGCAGCCGGCTCCGAGCTTGGCTTGGCGGGACCGCCTCCTCCGCAGCGAGCCCTGGACTGGACCGAGCGAGCAGAAAGCCTCTTTGCCCGGCCCGCGAGGCTGGCGAAAGTTGTGGGACTGGCCGGTAGGCAGCGCCGACGGGGCGAGTCGGTTGGGGAGCCCTGTCTGCAAGCAGGCAGGGAAGGCTGTTCGCGTGGGTCACTTTTTAGAAAGGCAGAGAGCCTCCGCCGGAGTGAGGATCCTAAAATCTGGGTCGGGACCAGTAAAAAGGACGAGAAACTCGCTTCCTCGCCCTTGATGCCAGGGGCTCCCAAGCCAGTCTCTGCAGCCATGACTGCCGGGAGCATCAGAGTGGGTGAAAGTCCTCCTCGCCGCCGCCGCCCCGCCTCTCGCCGCCCGACTCGCCCGCCTCCCTCCCACGGCACACCAGGCAACGTCTCGCGGCACATTACTGTGCCGCGGAACACCGGTTGGGAAACACTGCCTTAAATAAGCATCTACTTATGAAGACCTCTTTAGGCATGACTCTCCAAACCCTTAAAAAACATCAAAAGATTGTGTGACAATGGCATTTCTAGTCAAGGACTCTGGTTGACATTACATTTCATGAGTGAATACTGGATGCATTCCAGAGAAGCTAAGTATACCTAAGTGCCACTGATTTGAGTATGAACTGAGTGTTCTTGATTTTCTTGGTGTCAGCTGTATTTAAGCACAAAGGCTGCTTCAGATGTCTTAATTACATATGATATTACCTACACATGAAATACACTGGTGTAGTTAGCTGTTAGCTGTTGTATGTGACAAGCGTATGGGTGCACTTTCACTATGCTACACTTTCAACCATACAACGTGTACAAACTGTTAATGACTGGCACGTGCAACTATTAGATGTGATGTGACAACTTACACACAGGTTTCTTAGTAATACCGCTTTTACCGCATGAAAAGCTTTCTGTAAAGGAAATTTGTAATGTTTGAAAGCACCTAATGCCAGGCTTTGCACAATAACTGTCCTTTTCCTTTGGATCTCATTGTAGCAAATAGTCCACCCTCCCAGGAAACAGAACATTGCCTTTCTAGCCTCAGTGAGAGAATGAGGAAAAGAAGGGCATTTGCAGACAAGGAGTTGGAATCAATAATGCTGGAAAGGGAACTTCGACAAAGAACCTTTGACGGATTTGCTGCCCATCAGAGAAGACAGCTGCTGAGCAGAGAGCATTTACCAGCCCTTGAGGAAAACGTATTCCAAAGTGGACATGATTACCTTAATTACTTGACATGCGTTAACTCTGGTATGTTGAATATTTGTTTTCCTTTGCTGCATTCAAATACCAAGGTTCTAGACTATGGACCTTGCATTTATAAAATCACAGACACTTCTCCTTTGAATGTAGCTTTTATCACAGCAAGCCAAACTGAAGGTGGCACTTCACAGAAACGTACCTGTGAGGAGAACATGAATAAATACCTAAATGTGTACAGAGAAAATAATTGTGACTGGAAGGAGCAAGCTCTGTCCAGTGTCTTTTCCAGAGATCTTCTCTTACTTGAGAATAATTGGAGCCCCAAAATAATAAAACTCCAAGAAAATAAAGAATTAAGAGACATGGCAGCCAGATACTGTATTTTGTGCAATCATCACTCAAAACAAGAAAATCACAATGTTAATGATACAGGTCTTGAAGTCAAGGAGGATGTAAGGCATTTATCTCAAGAGTGTTGCTCAGAAATAAACAAGCAGATACTGTCTTTTTCAGTAGAATCTTTATTAAAAGTTTAAATCTATTAAGTAGCTTGGATGGCCAGTATTCTTATGAAATATTAATAAGGAAGTCTCCCTACTAAATAAATATTCATATTGTATGTATAACTGTAACTCTTCTGCAAGTAATTAACATCATTGACTCCTGTTCCATTTCTGATGTAGGGGGAAAACGTTCTACTTTGTTGTGATACATTGGAACTAGATCAGTGTGTTCTGGTAAGAGTGAGGATTTGCATCTTTATTTTCATGAATGTTTATGTTTGTAAATGTGTTCAACTGGGCTTTTTTCATCCATCTTGTTTTGCTTATAAGTAAAACATTATTTGCCTGTATGAAGCTGCAAAATATTACCAGGCATATGGCTTCCAGTATATTATAAAATACAGTGTAACTATTTGCAGAGGAAAAACCAGGTGAAAAAATATTACAACATAGCATAATGTCATAACATAACTTTTTGTTTTGATCAAATTACTGGAAGTAACTGTGATACAAATCACCAATTTTTGTGCCTAAAGTTCCTGAAAGTCCCTGCAACTGCAGCTTCTTTCAAACAGGATCTGAAAATCTAGTTTTATCCTTTGCTGAAGCAGGGTAATTGGTAACCAGCATTGCCATTTGATTAGCCATATCATTCGGATTATGATATGCTCCAAGCAGAGAGGCTACCACTGCTATAAAAAAGAAAAACATGCACCCAAACTGACAAAAAAATAATCTGGGACAAGGACGGGTCACCACCACCACTGTCATGGAGAAGAGGGTCAGCAGAAACAGAAGGGGAAATTAAAGAACTAGGGTGTGTGCAGTGTGATCTGTCCCCTACCTTTTAAGGGTGGCCATGCCCACTGTTGTTTCTGGTCAAGAAGGTTTTACAGATTTTGTACTACAGTGGTACCTCAGGTTAAGTACTTAATTCGTTCCGGAGGTCCCTTCTTAACCTGAAACTGTTCTTAACCTGAAGCACCACTTTAGCTAATGGGGCCTCCCGCTGCTGCTGCACCGCCAGAGCACGATTTCTGTTCTCATCCTGAAGCAAAGTTCTTAACCTGAGGTACCACTGTATTTTGAAAACCTGCAGAATCTGTTTATCAGAAGTGGTGGTAGAAGAAGTGCACATTCTATGAGCAACTGCCCTCCTTTAAAGTTTATTCAATTCTGAGGATGCAATCCCAAGCACACTTACTAGGGAGTTGGATTCATGAGCAAAATGGAGAATACAGCCAAGCAGACATGCAAAGATAGGATTTGCACTATGAAAATCCTCTCATCCACCGCCACACAAAATAGTATGTGTATGGAATTGAACTTTACTGCTTTTCGCTGGAAATATATTGGACACTATTACTAAGGGCACAAGCCTAGACAGTGTGTCTGGAAGTCCTGGGCTGCCCAGGCAACAGGAATTCCGTACTACTTTGATGATAGATTCTTGGCACCCTTATTACAAATAATGAAATAGTGCAATACACTTCAATTCTACTATCTGAAACAATAGGCAAGGAAAGTTAAAGTTCTCAAGATATGCATTACAGTTCTCAAGATACGCATTACCTTTTTCTACAAAATACAAATATTGCTGGAGCCAATATTACATTCTATACACAAAAGAAATTAAAGCACTAATTGCCAATTAATTTAAATACTAAGGAAACACATATTTCAAGCTTTGGGGGGCCAGTTTAACATCTCTAGGTCTTGCTTTTAGTCCCAAATAATATGCCCCAAATAATAATTTGCCTTAATGAAGCAAGTGTATGTTCTTTTAGCAACAATTTCCTTTAAAGATAGTATATTGGTTCATTTATAGCGTATAGATTTTCCCAGCTCTTGGTCTCCATTGAGCTCTTGCCTGAAGGAGAGCTTTGTAAATCATGGAAACATTCATAGCAACTGAAATGGTTAAAGTTATTTCCCTACATATTGAGTCATATCACAGAATTAATTTGCCCAACAAGAATTCATGCAGCTAGCTTATATAAACACAGGTTTTGTTTTTAAAAGATTGGGTTGCTTCATTTGTGAAAAGGTCCAAATGCTCTCAGCTACCAAGACAAGTTATTCTCTGCACATTGCAGTCAGGCTCTTTTTACAGGAAATGACCAAAGCCTGCTCTTTCCACTTTCCTTTGCTTCCTGCAGACTTCATGATATGCCTCTTATGGGCTGCCCTCTGCTAGTGAAGAAACAGTAGGGAATGACTGAGATGATTGGCTTATTTTTGTTGCCTCTTGCTCCTTCACAACCTGAAACTAAGTAAAGCCTCAATAAGGAAGGGCTTTTAATTGACCCAAGCATTATTTTGATGGAGGGCTATCCCACAGTAGTCCATAAAAGTTTTTATTCTTTAAAAATTACTCTCATTTATTGATTTGGGTCTTCCAGTAAATTGGGTCAGCACACATTGGAAAATTTTCTGATACAAGTAAGGAACAAGAGAGTGTAGACACTTAAGTACAACTTGTGTCACTCGAGGTGTGAGTTGCTTCCATGGAATGGCATGCTTTTTATAAGCTTAAGGTGATGCACCACATGCAACTCTACTTGGAATATTAATAGTTTGACTTCACTTATCTATGCTCTGGACTGGTAACATTCAGGTTAGATTACCTGTGTGTTGCTGGTTCTCTGATTGGGAATTTGATATACAGTTTGTTCTGGATAGGTTCGTTCTCCTCTTGAAAGAGTGAGCTCATGGACTTGGGGCTCTCCTTGATCCAGTGCTGTCCTTGATGGTCCTGGTGGCAAGGAGTTCCTATTACTAGTTTGTCAGTGATGGCCTTTCCTGGTTAGGTAGCCTTGCCATAGCAACGCATGCTATGGTAACTTCCCAGTTGAATTATTGTAAAGTGTTTTTTGGGCCGCGTATGGTTTAGAAACTGTAGCTGATGTAATTCTGAGGATGTTGAGAAGTACTGGCGGTTGGAACCACATAACAACATTTGTCCTGCAGAATCTGCAGCACTCAATGCAATGTGTTGATGTATAAAAAATTATCAGACCTAAATACCTCTTTCTATACAAGTCTGCCTGGAGAGTGATGCGAGAAAAGGCCATCTCTGTGGTGGCCCCTTCTCTTTGGAATGCTTTCCCTGTTGAAGATTACCTGGTGCTGACACTGTTAGCTTTTTAGTGCTAGTTAAGGAGGCACCTCTTTGCCTAGGCTTATTGAAGAGATTGAAGCAATATAGTCAGTTTTTGAGTACATTGCTAGCTGGGCTATTGTGAAATGTTTTGGGATTTTTATCTAACATTTTGTCAATGCATTATGATAGTGGTTGGCTTGTTAGTGTTGGCTTGCTGTGGTTTATGTAGTTATATGTTGTAACCTGCTTTGGGATCATTTACAAAGAAGAGCAGGCTTAGGAACTGAATAATTAATGAATGTGTGTGTGGTATATGGGACTGCATTTGAAGACAGATTGGAAACCTCCGTTGGTTAAGAATATAGGTAAAAGAACTAACTACGACTGGGCATTGCAGTTGCACTGGCTCAGTGTCTATTTATGAGTCAAATTCAAAGTGATGGTACATACCCCAGCCCCAAGATGTGAAGGGATTTAAAAGGAGCTGAAGATTTACCTATAAACAAATGAACTAGGCTTCATGTTTTCAGCTCTTCTGCAGGTGTCTTTTTAGAGATGCCCCATCCCTTTTCAGAGATGCCCCTCCCCTGTAATTTGCATTATTGTGCTGCCTAATGAAGACCCCTTCCCCCAAAACTCTCTAGAATTTAAAATTTATTATCTCTGCTGCTGGTTTTTATCTAGTTTTTGCTATTGCAAGTTTTAGCTTTTGTATTTGAATATATTATTGTGTAAGTCACATATTTTTGAAGGGTAATAAATAAATATAGCCACTCTAGCTTCTCATACTTTATCACACTACCTGTGTCTTTATGCTTTGCTTCACAACCCCATGGGTTAGAAACTTGATCTTGTAATGTAAACAATAAAACCTGACTTTCTCTGAATTTTACATAAGCCACTAGATTTTGTGTTGTGCTGTATAAATACAGCTTGCTTGACCACCTGATATAAAATGTGCATTTGAGAAATATCCTATTGGTGCATTGTAACTTACCCAGCAGCAGTTAATTACTCAGAGGCAAACGCTTTAGCTAGTGTGTACTCTCCCAAGTCTTGCTGTTTTGATTTGAACAATGAAATGGCCAAAGGGCCAACAGTGTTTCTTTTGTTAGGATAATATCAGCTTCACATGTCAATATTTTTCTTCCCCCATGCTCTCCATCTTGAGTTTATTTTTTTAAACACTTTGGCTTCTTTTAAGGAGGTTTGGTTTCCAGAGCAAACCAGCAAGCATCCATTCAACCAGCTTCAAGTTGCATGCTGGGTTGATTGCATTTGTTATGTCTAGTAGCAGATAGAATTTTCTCAAAATATTTAGCCTGTAAGGGATCTCTGCTGGTCGTCTGTTTTTATTGCAAGCATGCAATTAATCACCCTAATTGTTCAATTACTCAGAAGCCCAAGATATTATAACAAAACAAAACAAAAAATAGATGGCAGTCCAAATATCTTGAAAGTTTAAAGGTTCATATTGGTAAGGTAAAACCAAACACTTTTCCCCCATGAAGACAAGATTGAGAAATTGCACTAATTTTGCAGTAGTATTTGTTACAGTGCCTTGAACTTCTACTGTCGCATTACAGTTTGAGATACAATGCCCTATTGTTTTTATAATAATGATAGGGCATTGAATCTCAAACTGTAATGTAGGAGTAGGAGTAGTAGTAATAGTAATAGTTAAACTCTGATATGGGGAATTTCTGGATATTGTTAGATTTCACCTTGGCCGCAGTCAGCATGGATTGGCTAATTGTCAGGGGTGATTTGAGTTGTAGTCCAACAACATCTGAAAGGCCATAGATTCCCCATCCCAGGTCTACATAGTGACTCATTTTTACCACTATTCTCTGTTACCCAACTCCATCTTTGCAGAGCTGTATGCCCCTGTTTTTGATGCTATGTCAGAATAGATCTGAGAGCAAACACACATTTCTGCACCTGGCAAAAGAGACACGGACATGCCAGCATAGTCAGGGAGGGGGGAACCTTTGTGGCCCATCTGGTCAGATTGTTAGTCTGTCTCCACCAGAGGTGTATCTAGGCTCCCTTGCGCCCTTGGCAAGGAGAGTGGGCAGATAAGCTCCTAGCCACTCTGAGCCAGAGTGGAGAGGCATGATTTTTGTGGGGCCCCCCCCCGGCCTGTGCCCTTGGTCCCCAACCTAATCACTCCTTGATCGCACCCCCACGAGCTAGCTTTTACAGTAACTTTTGAACTACTGAAGGAAAAAGTGAGTTGTAGTTCAGTAGGTGAAAGCTTCCAGCAACACAGCAGAATCCAAATAGCCTTGAAAAATCAACAAGTGTTTCCTTAATCTTTGCCCCTCTGATGGATTTCCACCATCCTCAGCAATTAATTAACTAACGGTGCAATCCAATACGTGACTCAGTAAGCCCCATTGATTCATTGGAAATTACTCCCAGGTAAGTATGCATAGGACTGCAGCCTAAATATTTAATGAACCTATTTAAAACTTGAAACCCTAGTTACAACTTCCCAACTTTTCCAGAAGTCATGCCAGAGCACTTTTGAGTATGTACTTTTATATTGCAGTACTCTGACTGCACACTTCAAGCTGTTAACTGGGGAATGACAGAACAAACTTCCTTAATCTCCCATTACTTTCCCTTAAAATAATAATACAAAGAATGTTTTAATGTACAGGGCTGGTAAAAAGTGATAAAATTTCAGTGAAGGTACCAGTGATTTAGGTGATCCATGTAGACTCAACATCTAATAACACAGGGGTCAGCAAACGTTTTCAGCACTGTCCCTCAGACCTTGGTGGGGGGCCGGACTATATATTTTTTTTGGGGGGGGGGAGAATGAACAAATTCCTATTCCCCACAAATAACCCAGAGATGC